GACCTACCCTTCTCTTCGAGCTTCATCACTTCCTTCTTGGTTAAAACATCAGCAGGAACACTGTGACCTACCCTTCTCTTGAGCTTCATCACTTCCTTCTTGGTTAAAACATCAGCAGGAACACTGTGACCTACCCTTCTCTTGAGCTTCATCACCTCCTTCTTGGTTAAAACATCAGCAGGAACACTGTGACCTACCCTTCTCTTGAGCTTCATCACCTCCTTCTTGGTTAAAGCATCGGCCTTAGCTATGACAGGAACAATATTAACTTTGCTGTGTAATTGCTTCATGAACTCAATATCTAGTGGTTTTAGTCCATGGCCAAAGGGTGAAATGAAATAGAAGCAACAATGGATTCGATTATCTGTAATGTTCCTCCTATTTAACCCACTCTCGTCTTGTAGAAAACGTTCAAACTGCTCGTCAATGTACTGTATTATGGATCTGAAGCTATTAAGAAGAAAAACCATGGTTCATTGTCATCACATGGCAGAAAAATACAATAGCAAATATTAGAACACAAATGTTGTGTAATAAAGTTTAAATCTACACTAACAAAACAATAAAAAATTTATATGGATACTAGTCTCGACATTTCATATCCGCTTCAGTTCAACCTTTGTTTGTGGGAGAAACTCATACAAACAAATGTTGTATAATAAAGTTTAAATCTACACTAACAAAACAATAAAAAATTTATATGGATACTAGTCTCGACATTTCATATCCGATTCAGTCCAACCTTTGTTTGTGGAAGAAACACATACAAACAAATGTTGTGTAATAAAGTTTAAATCTACACTAACAAAACAATAACAAATTTATATGATACTAGTCTCGACATTTCATATCTGCTTCAGTCCAACCTTTGTTTGTGCGAGAAACAATACAAACAAATGTTGTGTAATAAAGTTTAAATCCACACTAACAAAACAATAAAAAATTTATACTGGTACTAGTCTCGACATTTCATATCCGCTTCAGTCCAACCTTTGTTTGTGCGAGAAACTCATACAAACAAATGTTGGATTGAAGAGGACATGAAACTAATATCCATATAAATGTGTTATTGTTCCATTAGTGTGGATTTAAACTTTATTGTAAGACACTTTACATGGTATTATCTATTTACCTGTTAGTATTATCAGTGTTGTGTATTTATATATTTTCTCAAGCCTAATATTTTTAGGTTTTCCTTTTTTTTTCTTCTAATAATTAATTCAACTGAAAAACAATAAGTATAAGTTCAGTACATAATTACATTATTTTATCTTACGCTTTCTGCTACAGGAACATGTGAAATCAGTCTTTAACAGTTTATTTTAAATTTACCAGTCAGTGTTGTCTATGGCATCACCAAATCCTGGTGTGTCCACCACAGTCAGTCGTAACTTGACTCCTCTCTCTTCAATCTCAACTGTACTGGCTTCCAGTTTCACATTCTGATTAATTTTTTCTATATGTGAAAATCAATAATTCACATTAATTTTCACATCAATAAATGTTTAGAGAAAACGATGATTAAACCAGTATTTTGCTCCCGAGATATCTAGTGTTAGTTACTCATGTCAGAATTATATCATTGTCTTCCTGCTCCAACATAGTTAAACGTTATTTAATCTTTCCAGAAAAATAATAAACTTATAAGGCAGGATAAAACTAGACAAACATCATCGAAACAGTATCAACAATATTATTAGGTTTCAGTTTTTTTTTTTTGCTCTGCAGTATTTATATACAGAAATATATAGGAAACTAAGAGGCCATTCTGGGCTTTGCCAAAAATCATATTTTGTGTTGTGATTTTTTTTACCTTTCGTTACATAAATCTAGCATTTGGCAATTTAATATAATTCTTTTTTTTTTTCTACGACATTTGATGCTAGTAAAATATGAGTATCGATCTTTCATTCACATCATAGTAACAACATGCTTACTGTACAGGTAAAATCACAGGTAGCTAATTATCTCTGCTTATGTGTGTCATGATGTACAAGTGTCGTTTCAACAGGTAATAAAATAATTAGATTAGCAATTTTTTGGCCCAAACTTTTCACGAGACAGAGCAGTCCCTGAAACTATGCGGACAGAAATTCGGATATTAAAGAAAATACAAATAACAATAATCTGTTCTTCACTTTGTTACAGCATATAGAAAAGTAGCTATAATATTTTTAATACCAAATATACAAATACGACAAACTAAGAAAATGTACCACACTCACCAGAAGCATCGGGAATATGTCTTTCAGGATACAGATCTGTTAAAAAAAGGCTGTTGATCATTGTTGATTTTCCAAGTCCAGACTCACCTATGTAATAAATGAATGTTTACAATACTTAACATTTTTTTTACTTGTTGACCGAAAACAGACATGACCAGCTCTTATTATTATCAGTGATTTTTATTTTGTCGTTTTGATCTGCAAGGATTGAAACTTGTTAAACGAAACAGTACATCTTGTATTAAACAGAGTCAAACGCATGTATACATTACTAGGGCTTGCGAAACTCTGGCTGACAATTAACTTTGTTTCTGCCACGATTACAACCAGGATATTTTTAGTTAAATCTTAATTATAGAAAATGTGCTTATTCTTACATACAGTAATATTTATGATATAATCAAAACACCACAGAAAATACTGGTACTGTATTTGAATTTCCAATAAGTATCAAAATTCTGTAAAAGAAATCCAATTTAACACAATACTGCAAAGACTTTTAGATTTCCGACATTTTACGGCCAGCCAATAAACATATTTATCATCAAGTAGACTCTCAGTTGTCAAATCACAGGCCGAGATGGTTGGTACTGGTAGTTTTCAAGGGCCTTACCTCATTACACATTGCACACAAGACACTGTGTGATTGGTTCATCTTGAAAGCACTTTAAAATGCATAACTTCAACATTAAAAATTTGGTCGCAAATTTTGTTGGGGCAATGCAGGGATGACCCCCCTCTCTTGCCCTCATTGGGTTAAGTCGGTATCCTGATTCCTAAATGTCAGAGGTATTTGGCAACTCCAGTATGTTAGTATATTACAAGCTTTTGTGACTTACAACTTAGCAACTAAAGTCAAAAATTAGGTTAATATTGAAAAATGCTAGGCCTATATTTCTCCTTTTACTATAACAGATAAGTCATATAATGTGTATAATAAAACACATTGAAAATACCATTGCATTAGTGTTAAAAACACAAAATATTAAGTAATTATTAATTTAGAAATGTTTTACCATGCTTGAAACCAAATTTGTTTTTCACACGAACGCCCTACACATACTTACGAAAATTATTTTTCACTCAAAACAAAATACAATGTAAAGATAAATATATTTATTTACATGGTTCGTTAGTTGAAGAAAAACAGGTGATATAAGATTAAACAGACACCGTTGATTTTCAAACATTAAAAGTATTACATGTGCAACTCACCAACCACCATTAAAGTAAATTCGAAGCCCTTTTTCACAGATTTACGATGGACTTGGTTTGGAAGATTAGCAAATCCCACATATCCAGGCATTTCTGGATTGACAAACTGAAAGACCAGAATTGAAAGGAAGTTTTTATGAATCTATGCATAATAAATAGAAGGTACAAATAATATCAAGCTTTTAATTGATCTTTTTTAGAATGCGAACAATGGACTGTACTCTTTTCTGTGGATAAATAGATACAACGCACCATGCTCTTAATAACAGCATAACTTACATTTATACTGTAAACTCTGTACACTTATCATAGTTTTATGAGTACAAGTAGGCTTAACACTTGTAGGCCTACTTACTGATGTACACTTACAATTTAATAATCTCTGTTATGAAGCGACTTCTTAAACTTTTATTTGTGTATAAGCTGTATTTGTGTGAATATTATGTTTGCTAGTTTAAATATAATATTGTCAGTAATTGCTTGTTTGTTTGTTTTGAATTTCACGCAAAGCTACACGAGGGCTATCTGCGCTAGCCATCCCTAATCTAGGTAAGACTAGAGGGAAGGCAGCTAGTCATCACCACCCACCACCAACTCTTGGGCTTCTCTTTTACCAATGAATAGTGGGATTGACTGTCACATTATAATACCCCCACAGCTGAAAGGGCGAGCATGTAACTGGGTATGTGAGTTAATTAAAACTTAAGAATTAAACATTCTGTCCAGCTGTGATTGTAAGAAGCACGAGAGAACACACAGCACAGTTCACAGTGTGAATGTATAAGGTTAAAAATTACTGAATTACAGCTATAATTAAATGAAATACTATCAAACGAGTCAAAAGTAATGATAAAATATATTTATAGTATTTGACAGAGAAAAACAACACACTTTAAAATCAAATTCTATTTCTTGAGTAGTTATTTTTAATATGATTATAAAGTTTCATTAGCTTTCTACTTTTAAAGTTTTAAACTGTGTGCCAAGTTTCACGTGATTTCAGTTGATGTGAGTGTGTGAGGTGGAGGTAGCTGTTTTAAAGTTACCCCACACAATAATTGTGCTTGAATTTGTACCATAAAATCAGCACTAAATTAATGTTATTACATTATAGTAAATATGTGCCAACTTTGGTTAACTTTAGAGTTAGTGGAAAGCTCATGAACCTCTAAGTCCAACAACAGCTGATCTAATGAAAGGATGAGCATCATGACATAAGTTACGTATTATTAACTATACTATTTCTAAGTTGTCCATTAATTTTGATTAAATTTAAACAATAAAATATCACTTATTTTCCCGAATAAAATTTTATTGAATTGACAAATGTAATTGGTCCTACCTGTCTTGCTGTATCAGATGCCATAAGTCAACCTTATCTTTAATTTTAAAGAAAATATCAAATTCCAAGAAATTCGGCTGAACTTTTCCAGGCTTACCACAAGCCTCTTTCAAAACATGAACGCCTCGTTATTCTTTTCTCCCAGAACAGGAAATTGAAGCCTGGCCTCACCCAAGCGAGAGAGACATCTTACGTGTTTGCGATATTTATATATATTTATTCTTACTCTAAATATATTAAAAACATAAGTATGGATTTTTTAGAATGACACAATATTTTAAACTTTGTTTGGTTTAAAAAAAGATGAAACTTTTTAAAGTCACAGTCAGTAACTGTGATATAGATTCAATTTTCTGTCAGCGATAAACGTAGCATCGAGCCCCCAGCGATAGAGCGGTAATTTTGCGAATTTATAACGCTAGAAACCGGGTTTCGATACCCGTGGTTGGCACAGTACATACAGCTTTTTATGTAGCTTTGCGTTTAACTACATACAAACAAACGATGCAGTGAAAAGTTGCAGACGTTTTTGCCGTACTTCTTTTAATTACTCTGTTGCAGATTTTAGATCAGTAGCGCAAAAAGTATAATTTAAAATCTATCTTTTATATGCCACACGTCTCTGAGTAGAACAACATTACATTCTAAATGGCACCAATACTTGTTTAATTTCATACATTTAAATGGTTTTCTACTCAAATCTTTAAACAGTGTTCTTCTAAATATAAACAATTTTCATATTTACAACACCGATCCTGTTTGTACATAAAATTCAGAACTAAAAACGTATGAATTAAAGTTTTATATACATGAGTAACTAAAATTAAGTTGTCCCCGATTAAATCTAAATTTATTAAAAAACGTTTATTCTATGTCATCCCTTATCATCAACTAACTGGAATGAGTTGACTGAAAAAGACTCGAAATTGTAGATTCCGATATAGATTTCTTATCTAATGTTACATATTAATAAATTAAAATGATAACTTTATAATACTATTAACTATTAATAGACTAACCATTGTAATTAAAGGCCTAAGTTAAAAAAATTAAATAGTTCTTTTTAATATAAACTATACACACACACACACACTCATATATATACAGGAACCAAATCCATTAATCCAATCTCCTCAGGGAAGTGATTGATGAAATGAAAAAGTTTAAAAACTTTTGATCATAAATAATTTAAAACAATAAATAAAATCACTTTTTTAAACATTTCAATTTGTTCCTTATATAGACATATAGATAAATACGAAAACACTTTCATCTTTGACTTTTCTATTTGACACGATATTTTTGAAATTAAAAGTTTATTTATTATGAATTTAAAAAGTGCTCCCTCTAATGATATTCTATCTCTACCTTACGGGAAAATAAGTAAAGATAGTGATAATATAATTAATGATCGAATGACTGTCGAAACTTAGTTATTATTATTACTTCAATGAATGAGTAGTATGCTGCTAATGTTTAATAAATTTATTGTTAAAAAGTTAAGAAATTTTTTTATACAGTATTTACAAGATAAATGAAAACATAAGCCTGCTATAATGTACAGGAAATTGTGCAAAGCCAACTATACTCACTGTAGCACAACTTAGTACTACTACTAGTACGTAGTAATAGATTAATTTGTGGTCCAAAAATTCAGGCTTACTAATCCAATTTGTGCGCTGCCGTTTGTCTGCTACTGCTTACACTGGTGTAAGATTGAGGCTTAGGCCTTGCCTAAGCTGCGACAAAGTACTGGCTCAGGTGATACAAATACTTAATGTATTATTAATATTAGTTATTTGAGTTTTGATTTGTTTTTGATACCTCTTATTCATTTCATTGTTTTATATTTATAAATTATACTTATAGTAATATAAGTTATAACTAAGATATGTTTGCTTTAGTTATGGCAACCGTGTCCGTTGAAATAGATATAATAATTAATTTGTCAAAGGCTTAGAACTTAGAAGATATTTAAAAATGGTGAATTTTAACTAGAATTGAAAAATTAACATTATATTATACACCTGTGTGCATTACTGCAATTACTAAGTTTCTAGTCATTTATATAAATTACAACTTTATTAAAATAAAGACAACAAACAATTTAATCTCTCAACTTGAACACATAAAACAAACCCAACCTTTATTTTTCAGACAATCATTAGTTCCATTTGTTAACTCTTGTAAGATGCCACACCACTACTTAAATATTAAGGCAACTGCTTTATAAGTACGTATATAGGTATACATATAAGTTAAGGATGGTACCTGTTGGTACACGTAGGCTATCCTATCTACTATATTGAACTCTATTAAAGATAAAACACGTATTATTATTATTCTCATATTTATCAATTCTTCCCGTAAAATTTCTTTAAATTTACTGCATCTACTATATCTCAAGGCAACTTACTACAAATGCCAGCCAGAAGATGGCCCCTGCCCTGCTAAATTTATATATTCCCTAGTCTTATCATTAAGTACAAAAAAAGATAAATCAACATTATCTATTTCCTTAACAATCTTAAACACCTCAATCAGATCCCCTCTAACCCTTCTTTTTTTTTCAAGAAAAGACAATTTCAAATATCTTAAACCTGTCCTCGTATGACATCATTTCAATGTTACGTATCATTCTAGTAGCCATCCTTTGAACCCTTTATAACAATTCAGTGTTCCTCCTGAGGCAAGGCGTCCAAGACTGAAATAAGCTACTCTTGCTTACCTTGTGCCCTCCACTCTTCCCACATGTCGAGAAGAGCGATGGAGCTGGCTCATATTATCTCCTCCCTGTGTCTTTAAAGGTGGCATTTAAATGCATTTACACTTCTCACAGAAACTGATTCCATTGGAAGATTATTCCATATATCCACTACTCCTTGAGTGGAAAGGAACTTCCTTAAATCCAATCTGGAGCTCTGCTTGTATATTTTATAGTGGTGGCCTCTAGTTATAGAAATATTAACTATAAAGAAATTTGTAGCATTTGATCCTTCAAGGTCTTTAAAAATTTTAAAGACCTCAGTTAAGTCGGTCATTAAATGACGGATTTCAAGTGTAGTGAGGTTTAATTTTTGTAACCTCCTTTCATAAGAAAGATTATGATAACCTGTTACCATCACCCCATTAGAAACTGTTTTAAGTGAAGCCTAACCTTTTTTTTCATATTTTTAAACTTTGTGTTCTCTTTTCGTGTTGCCTTAGGTACTCAAAACAAAGAAATTGGAGGATTTATTATATTGATATGCTGGATAACTATTTTCGTGTTGAATAAGACCATTTATTACCGTTTTTAAGATGAATTATAAGATTGTAACCAGTCCTCGTAAATATAAGCCTGTTAGTCTTACATCAATAATGGGTAAATTTTTTCTTAAGTCTGATAAAAAATACTTTGCAAAGTCATTTAATAAAGTTTACAGTTTTGTTGGATAGTTGACGTGGTGAATGGTTTCACGAGGGGAAAAATCTTGCCTTACTAATCTTTTATATTCTTTGAAGATGTTACTGCTTGTGTAGATGAGCTATAGTTTATCTGGATGTTACGAAAATGTTGACAAAGTTCCACATAAAATACTTCTTGAAAAATGTATCTCTTTAAGTATGGGAGATAAACAGACTGGCGAGATGGAAGGAAGCAGAATTTTGTTATAAATGGAGTTCAGTCTAGCTAACTTAATGTCACGAGTTGGGTACCTCGGGACTCAGTGTTAGGACCTTTGCTCTTTTTTCATTTACGTCAATGATGTAGATGAAGGAATGGTCAATAAATTGCTTAAAGTTGGTGATAATATTAAGGTTTCGGGTGTTGCTGGCTGTGAGGAGGATCCAGGGGTTTGTAATCTTTGATGAATTTGGCAAGTAAATGGCATATGGCCATTGTGATAAATAAAAAATAATGGATGTAGAATATTACAATTTGAATTATGAATATAATTTTGATGGGAATAATCTTAACAGTGTTACGAAAGAAAAGGATCTTGATGTTCTAATTGACCATCTTTCCTAAACAATCCAAGCAAGGTGCTGTTACTAGTAGCATTAGTTTCCTAAACAATCCAAGCAAGGTGCTGTTACTAGTGGCATTAGTTTCCTAAACAATCCAAGCAAGGTGCTGTTACTAGTTGATCAGTTTCCTAAACCATCCAAGCAAGGTGCTGTTACTAGTTGATCAGTTTCCTAGACAATCCAAAC